TTGTTATATTGTCTAGATAGTCGTTATGTTTGATATCACGTTTTTTAAAACTTGAAAAATTTGCATTGACTTCAATTAATTATGGATTTTTAAAAAAAGTCCATGAAATTGCCTCTCAAAAGTATACGAATTTTTCCTGTATTTCATATTTGATCGTATTATATGCAACACAAATTTTAGAACCGAATGGTTTTTATGCGTAATATTGTTTTAAGGGGTTACTATCCACGGAAAGGATATATTTTTGGACCATTTGGTCCACAATTTTGGGGAATTTGTACCTTTTTTCAAGTAATATCATTAAAATGGCGATTTTTGGCCATAGTTGTAAATTTTTCTCCTTATTTCCAGAGATAAAACAAAAATTTGATATTGGGACTTATAAGACCCCTTGGGGTATATAAAAATAATATTTTTTGTTACAAGAATCTGTATTTAAACGTTCCAAGATAAATTATTCGGATCATTTTTCTGTAGCTAATTCAATATATTGGAACTTAAGTCCATTTTTATAATACTAGGATCAACTATTTTCGGGGAAGTTTTCTGGTATATATTCTTTTAGATATCAGCTTTTATACATTTTAAGTTTTCAATGTGTTGTGGAAGTGTACAACTCCAAAACATGCCTCGAAGAAACACCATTCAAAATAGTAAAATCATTATTTTTAGATACCAATGGCCTCCATGCTGCATGGCACGATATCAATATGATCTAACTCAAAAATATTGATATATGTTTAAATAATATTTACTATGATCAAATTAAAACCAAAATTTTGGACTTACAGTGTTATTGTAACGGGAAACATAAGCGTGAAAGTTACGAGTAGTAAAAACTGAAATCTACTATATAGGATGACGTTTTATTAAGGCATGTTTTGGGGTTGTATACCGCTATAATATATTGAAAATTTAAAATATATTAGTGCCAATATGTACATGAATATACACTAGACAACTTTGTCGGAAAATATCGTCCCTAGATGTACGAAAAGGGACTTATGGTCCAGATAATTCAATTAGAAACTGAAAAACGATACCAAAAATACATCTTGGAACGTTTAAGTACAGATCCTTATAACAAAAAATATTATTTTTAGATACCCTATGGGTTCTATTAAATTCCAATATTAAATTTTAGTTTTATCTATGGAAAAAGGGGTGAAAACATTACAAATATAGCCAAAAATCGCCATTTTAATGATATTACATGAAAAGAGGGTACAAATCCCCCAAAATTGTGGACCAAATGGGTCAAAAATATATCCATGCGGTTGATAGTTACCCCTTAAAACAATATTAAGCATAAAACCATGCGATTCTAGAATTTGTGTATCGTATAATATGATCAAATATGAAATACAGGAAAAATTCGTATACTTTTGTGAAGTAGTTTCATGGACTTTTTTTAAAAAAAGCACAACTAATTTAAGTAAATGTAAAGTTTTCAAGTTTTAAGGGGCGTGATATCAAATCTAAGGACTATCTAGACAATATAACAAATTAATTTATTTATTTTCCACACAAAATATATTATTAAATTTGGTTTTTTCATAGTTTACCTAAATTCGAATACTTATGAGAGACACTGTATGTACATACATACACTGGCGAGCAAATATGAGTGCATGTTTGTAATTTGTGCACTTTATTTGGAATTTGATTTCTTTTTTACATAATATTTAACAATATTAATCTCAATTTAATCCAAAAAGTGTAAAGTGTTTTGCTCCCCACGAAATCTTTAATGAAGGCTGTCATTTTTAATATTTTTTACAAAGTCCCATATTAAATAAATCACTTTTCGCATTTTTAGGACACTTTTCTATAAATGTTTCTTTATTTTATTTGAAATCATGCTGATCCCGTTGCCAAAGCTCCTCCAAATTGGTTGGGTTTACTCAGTATTGTCTCAACGGCCACTTCAGGATTTAGCACAAATTTTCAATCGCATTGAGGTCGTGGCTTCCATATGACTTCTATATCTATAAAAAATCTTGCTGGAAATACAATTCTGTGCGATTTTTACATGTGCTATCGCCTTTTTATTGAAAAATTACTTCTACCACAGGATTTGCACTTTTACCTACCAAATCAGGAAATGAATCTAAAAAATCGGAATGATAAGTCTACAAAATACTCAGAAAGTCTTCTTTGCTCAATATTTAAATTATTTCCAATTAGTCTAAGGCACTATGTAAACCAAACCCATGCCATAATCGTGTTTTAATGTTTCCTTGGGATGGCGCCTTTGATTTCTATTCCCAGGGTTATTTTAGTTTTGTCTGTATTTTACTTAGAAATTTACACTTTTTGGCTTAAATAAAAGAATTCACAAACAAAATTTTTGGATGTGCTTTTTATACCCTACACCACTATAGTGGGGAGGGTATTATGCGTTTGTGCTGATGTTTGTAACTCCCTACACCCACTTTAAAGTATAGCAATCGGCTTCACTTCACTTTCTGAGTCGATTTAGCAATTTTCAAGATAATTGGATGAAATTTGGTACATACTCTTCTTTTGACCCAAGGACAAAGCCTATTGAAAATGGTATTTAGTATAGCCCCCATACAACCTTACTTCCCGGATAGGGCTTTTGAAATGTTCTTAGATCAGCAAAATCTATTATAATGTATGTAAGTCATCAGCATCATACTGATTTTCGTAATGATCAGCCTTATTGGACCCTATCCCCCATATAAAGTCCCCTTCAGTAAATAACTTGATGGTCAAAATTCACTTATAAACACTAATAACACGATGATATTCTGCATAAGTAACTAATGTAGACATAAATTCCTCTACCAAAATTTATAAGGATATGGCCATATTAACCCCCTGTCCTCATTTAACCCCTCTTTTTGAAAATCGCTCTTTTGTCAACAAATTGTTAAAATATTTCTGAATTGAGGTAAAAATGAAATTAAATTTTATTAAAAAAAATAATCAACATTTTCAACATAATCACCTTCCATGCCCGACTATAAATTCTTAATTGTTTAGTTTTATTTTTATTCCAAATAAAATGAATAAATTGCAAACATGCGCTCATATTTGCCCGCCAGTGTATATGTATGCATGTACAATTTGTTTTTGTACGTTTTTATCGAAGATTATTTTATTAAAGATTATTATAGCAAATATAATTAGTCCATATTGAAAATTCAAGGCGATTCCCGTTTTTGACTCTATATGGCTTCTTCCCAAAATGTTTATCAAGTGACATTGTAATACAATGCGCATTGCTGTATATCGTTTTTGTGTTAAAAACATATTGTCTGTGCAAATGTGGCTGACAGTTGTATAAATGTCTGTTAAATATGATTATGAAAATTTTTACCTCATAACATTCAAGTTTTGTTGAACAAAAACCCCTAGATTTGGGACTTGACAATGTCGTTTAGCTTTCCTATTACTTATCGTTAACTGAAAAAAATCTGGATTTACATAAATTGAATTTTATACCCAATACAATTTATATGATGTGAGTCAGATTATGTTAGAAAAAACCAAAAATAAAAACCGAGTTGATTAATGTTAAATTACAGATCAGAAGTTTAATGATAGTTGGGAAAATTTTGGTATATACTATTATTATGGTCCAAGAAAGATGGTGATTGGTTGCCTCGATTATGCAGCAATCGTTATAAAATTTCTCAGCAATATGTTTTAAGGATCTACAAATAATTCTGTAAAGTTTTATTTAAAAATAGCACCACATTTGACCCAATGCCCAATATAAGAACTATTTCAGAAAATAGTTTTTACGTTTATATTAGTCTTATAAATATTAGTATAGCATTTAATAGTCTTAAATAAGCAATAAATGAACTTAAGTAATAAACTAAATTTTATTAGGATCAATATAAACCTAAATTCATATAGACCTCCTTCAAAAAAATCGTTGGCCGTCTGTAAATTTTATAAATATTTATGAATTATTTAAAGATACATTAAATTCATAATTATTTTTCATCCGACTAATAAAAAAGTTATTTTATATTTTTTTTTTTAAAATAAAGAACCACATTTAAAAAATTATTTTTTTTTTCAATTTTTTCAATCATTAGACAGCAACAAACCGGTTTTTTACCATTCGAATTAAAACTCCGTAGCAAAAAACCGGTCGATGAAAACCGGGAAGTTCTCCTTAGTGAGAAGTATTCTATGCGTTTTAAACACCAATGATGAACACTCTGGTTCTAAATTTTTATAATATAAATAAAAAGATTAATTTTGTTTTGGTCTATTATTTTGAACAATAGAAAAATGTTTTTTTTTGCAGATTTTTACGTTTAATAAAGTTTTAGAAAAAATATGAACTATTGTGAATATTGTATTTTCAGTATAGTTTTTGAATCAATAATTAAAATTTCCCAATAACATTTATTACGAAATGTTTTAAACAAATAAAAATAAGTCTATTATTTTGCTCAGCACTGTATATACATCGCACTGAAGAGATTTACTTTATCTTATGTTAACATATTGAGTTGTTCCTAATATTTGTTTTCAACATAATTTTACTGAGTTTCAAATGATTACAAATGGGATTAAATTATGAAATAAAAATATCATGAAACAAACAAAATTCTAAACATTACTATGTACAAGGAACGAGTTTTCATTTTCTCTAAAAATAAATTTGAATAAATTAGAAATGTGACTAGTTTTTTTAATTTCCATAGATAATTAAGAAAATGATTCTTTGATTGACCTAATTAAAAGATTGGTGCTGTGTTTATTTGTAAGAACTCACATACATGCATGTTTTTTCACCTGCATAGTTATGGTGCATACATAAATATGAACGTATTCCTAAATATATGTAAATTTTGTAGAATATTCTGTTTGATTCATAAACTATATAAGCTAAGTCAATTTCTTAAATACGATTAGTTCGTGTCTACATTCCCCATCTAGTAAGTGATATTATCGAAATATTTTAAAGTAAGCCAGAGTTTCTCTTAATTTGTTTTAAAAACTTTATTGATTTTTTTAATTCGATAACTCGTGAATTAGTATTGTTGATACATATGTATGTATATTATTCGACAATAATTTTGAGAAATGGTATCTTAGAATGAACAAAAGTTTAATATTCGTGGGAACATCAGTACCTTATTATTACTCCATACAAACGGGAAAACCGTAATCTTCATGTTTTAACTTGATAACTCTTCCGTTCCATACACCTGTAATTGCGAAGAAAGGGAATTACTTTCTATTTTCGATAAATTGTTAATAATTAAATTAAATCACTAACTACCTAACTATATGTACATACATACATATGTATTTTTTTTATTGCAGCAATTTCCGAATTGTGACAAAACAATCGACATAGATTTTTTGATGCGAACCAATAACGTATTTATCTAAGATAAATAACTGCGCCCACGTTTTTGTTTATCGTTAAATTCTATCTAGAATTAAATTTATTTTTAAAATAAAAATATATTTTCGACAATATTAAACTGTTAATCATTAATTATTTATTTACAAGGTTATTGATAAAAACGCTGATATCTTAACTCTTATTGGATATAAATTTGGAAAAAATTCAGTACTAACCTCAGTTAGGCCATAACATCCACCGAAAGCTAAATTAAGTTGTTACGGAAGGACAGTGAAAATAAAAATGAGAGCTCATACAAAATTAATCTTATTAACACTTTTCTGTGTATTCCTGGATCTGTCACTGGGAGTTGAGGTATGTATTATTGATAAAGTATTATTAAGTAAGTACTTAAGGAAATTTTGTATTTTCTTAAAGAAATGTGAGGAGTGTATGGCAAATGATGGGTTTTGTGTGGATAAAACATCATATTACTTGTGTATGAACGGAAAACCAATGAAAACTGAATTGATCACATGTCCGGAGGATCAAGTTTGTACAAATTCTGCTAATATTTGTGAACCAGAATCTGAGGATAATGCAATCTGCGGTGGTTCATCCTGCAATATCTGTAACGTAGATGACAAATACACTTGTGTAAGTAAAACACATTTCGGCCGTTGTCTTAATGGTAAAGTTACCGTAACAAGCTCTTGTGAAAGTGGTTCACTTTGTAGTACTGAAATGTTAACATATGGACAAATATGTGCACCAACATGTGTTCTCGACTTTGTAAGTTATCCTTATTATTATATTTATGTAAATTTAAAATTTTTTATAACATGGTTTTCTTTAGTTCGGATTTTCTGCCACATGTAGCAATGATCAACCTATCACAACAACTGCTGTTCCACCTACAACACCTGATGTAGCTACTTTGAAAGACAAATGTAAAGCGAAGCAATCAGATAAGAATATTTATACCGTATTAGGTGATCCTACATGTAAAACGTAAGTATTTGTTCATAACTTTTTTGCTTTGAGGAATGAATTGAAATTGTCAGGTATTATATATGTATGTACCTACATATGTATGTATGTAGGTATGTATGAGAATTTTACTTTTTGTTTTCAGCACAAGTTTAATAGATAAAAAGTACCCTCAAATGACTAATTACAATATGAAAGCAATCATTACTAATCACATTATTTTATTTTTTAATTTATTTACAGTTACATTTATTGTGAAAAAGTTGGCGAAGAAATAGAAGCAATTCTAATGAATTGTCCTCACTTTTACGATAGCACCAAAGAAGAGTGTGTAACTGATAAACCAACAACATGTTCTTAAACGACTACTATATGTATATGTACTTATAACGCATACATGAATAGATATAACAAATAAAAATTTATAAATTAAACATCTATTTTTTATTTCTCTAATGTTTAATATTGTTTATGGGCAATTCCATGAAAAGATAAATAAGGTTGGAAAAAATAATTTAAAAGTATTTATGACAACAACATAAGTGCGATATATTGCAAGTTAAAAACGACGAAGAATCGCCCATGTGATGACAATAGCACAATTATCAAACCACATATGATTTCAAAATCGCCAAATTTTTAAGTATGTGATGAAGTTCGCGCGTTTTGTTTGCGTTTAGTTATTTTTCGAAGTTGTTTCGCAATAAAATATAATATCTTTAAAAAAGCTCCAAGCTAAAAAGGAACGCATTAAAACACGTACTTAGAGATTCCTTCAATCCAATGGATATTCCTGAACAAGTGTATGTATAAAATATGAAATAAAACTTTGAATTTCTGTAATTTGTATACTATATAGTTTCATAGCACATTATCGGTTTAATAAGGCTGCATTACCATGATTTTGGACGAAATTTTCTAATATAAACCAAATCATATGTTTCTATTAAATCGTCAATACAAAAGAAAACAATTGAAAAACAAACAATCCAAGACTTTTTTGAAATTGCTATTTTTAAATAAAATTATTAAAAATTATTATTTTTAAATAAAATTATTAAAAATTCTTCAATACTAGAAGAAAACAGGTTTGATTTAATTTTTCAATAATTTTATTAACTTTTAAAATCGCAGATTAAGCAAAATTCATTAGCTCACTTTAGTAAATGTTTGTAATCTGAAATCGCCAAACTTCTTGCGATTATAATCTATAGCACACTTATTTTGATTTGATATCACAATCGCCAATGTTTGGCGAAATGCGATTTTCATCACATGGTTGAAACGAAGGAATAATATTCGAAAACATAACATAAAACAAGAAAATCTCGGTAATGTGAACTAATTAATGTTGGGTTAGTTCATATTTTCGAATTTGTTCACATTTTTTATTTGTTATACATTACTATTATTATGTATGTATGTATAAAAAAACAATTTCTACATGTAATGATAAAGCTTAGTAAAGGTGGAAGTACACAACACGCGTTGTACGCAGCAACGAGTTATAGGCTTCTGTCAAAAAAAGTTGAAATAGTGTATTTTCATTTAACAAGTTACACACTTTAGTTTGTAACGCGTCTGCCATGAAAAGTTGGATCTTATGTGCAGCCCATGGTTTCACCATAACAAGTTTAATTCACGTATGATTGGTGAGAGGTTGAATATATCCTTCGGGGCTAGTGTTGCAACACCTAAGATTATTTCACGGCGAGTCTTTAGTGTTGGACAATTGTGTTCTGAGATTTCCTTTCGATAGCCACAAAATCTGCATAGCTTCGATGTGGCGTTTCCTAGAATGAATTGATGATATCTGAGACCACAGTGTCCCATGAGTAGTCCCTTTAGTATTCTGAGGTCACTTTTGTTAAGCGATAACAGCCTTTGGGATTTTCCTCTTGATAGCGTGATTAAGCGCTTGGTCTGTCTAAAGCTGGAGGTCCACACTACGCGTCTTCGCGGCAAAGCATTTCGTGCTTTTCATACCTTCTTTGCATCCTACTCATCAAGTTACATGCAACACTTCTTAAGCGTAAAATTTTTGCTTTATTTATAAAGAACTTTGCGTTTTTTAAAGCTTTTTATTTATATTTTCACAATTTAATTTGTTTATGTTTATTAAAATTGATAAATACAGATTTAAATTAGAATATAAATTGTCATAATCAGCTGACATGTTCGTGTGCCACTTATGACGCTTACAAAAGTAGAAAGTAGATCTACTTTAAGCATTCTACGCGTCAAGCCATCCTACGCTTATGTGCCTGTAACTTGTAGCACACAACAACATTGATCCTACTTTTTTGATAGCCGCGTAGAATGCGAAGAAGCGTAGAACGCGTGGTGTGGACCTTCAGCTTAAGCCCTATTTTTATTTCCCAGCGGTGAGCAAATTCCCATTCGACCCACAATACGCATCTTTGTCTGACGTAACGTTGTGGTATACCAAAGAATGGTTCAGGGCCGATAAGTGGGCGATGAGCGCCTCTATTTGCTATGCATTCCGCCTGTTCGTTGAAAGAATATCTTTCATGGCCGGGTACCCAACATATTATTAATTTGTTGTGTTTACCCAGTTCGTTCAATGAGGACACAAAGTCCATTACAAAGTAAGGCCTGGAGTACTGCTTGGCTATCTGACATTATGTAAATTCTCACACCCCTTAACCTTCTCCTCACGCACTCTCTGGCACAGATGAAGATGGCATAGATTTCCGTCTGAAAGATTGAGGGATATATTTCCATGGAGATTGCCTTCTGGAAGTTAGGACCACAAATGCCTGCTGCAGTATCACCATCTGTGTGTTTGGACCCGTCAGTAAACCATACTTGATCGGCATTTTGCTGCCACCATGTAGAAGATAAGACAAGGTCGTCGGTATAACCATAAGTTCGGAAACCTAAGTCATTAAGTTTTTCAAGTAGACTATCGAACAATGGCGATAATACGCCTCCTTATGGACAGCCTCTAGTGACCCATATGGTTCTCAATTTTCCACAAAGCTCAAACTTAATGGCTCTTGATGTTAGCATTTCCAGAGTCCAGTTTCTGATAACCTTTGGAATGCATTTTCTATTTAATGAAAGGTCTATCGCATCATATGATGTATTGTCGAATGCTCCTTGTATTTCTATAAAAGCACATAGGGCTATTTGTTTAGAGCCCAGATCCTTCTCAATTCTCGTCGTGACGTGATGGATAGCAGTCACCGTCGACTTGCCGGGTTGGTAAGCAAATTGAAACCAGTGAGTCGGGTTCTTTGAAAAATAGGTATTATATTGTAATTGTCGAATAGTTTTTCCATTGTTTTTTTTTTTTTTTTTTTGGAAAAATGAACTTAAACTTGTTGGTCTATAGGTTTTTGGCAACTGTTCAGATTTGCCGCCTTTGGTATAAAGACCACTTTAACTCCACGCCAAGAGTTAGGCACATAACCTATCAACAGACTCGATTTGAATAATCTTGACAGTTTTTTGTTGTTCAAATCTGTGGTAAAAAATTAACTTTATTGATATTACCAAAGTGTATAATTTGCTTTGATTAATGTTTTCTTTTAGAAAATGTGATGGGTTTTAGTAAAAGTCAACAAAAGTATTTCAACTATTTTAAAAATAAAAAAATAACGAACATTTCTTCTATCGACTTATTATCCCCTACATATTTACGCTACGTTCATAATGCTGGAGTACTCGACTGTACACACCATTAAAGAAATGTTAGCTGTTCTAAATAATTTGTCAAAACAATAAAAATATTTAAAATAAATAATGTTTTATCTAATCCTTCACGAAGGGTAGTCATCTTGTCGCGATGTGAAGGCTTAAGTGCGATGAATCTCATGGGCCATGCTGACGGAGACAGCTTTGCTTGAGCTGGCTGCCTCCTAGGGGTCACCCTTGTCAGACGGGTCATGAGACGAGCACGAAACTAAGAACTACCCCTTCCACCTAACAGATGTCTGTTTCCCACATTGGGCGGTCTGTTAGTAACGATCTGTTGATTTGCTTCTCCTGTCACTGAGACAGGGCAATCAACAGAAAGTCCGTTTTGAATCATTTGATTCACGCACTTAAGTGTGCAAGTCCTGAAATCCATCAAGCGTATGTTCCAGATTGGACGGCTTGATGGTCTGTTTGCTCCCAGTGGGACGGCAGTTTATAGTCCTGGCAGTAGGCCAAAAATGCAACAAAACCACCCCCCCCCCCCCCCAAGTATGTCAGAGAAGAAAGAATGCCCCTCGTATCCGGTCCGGGGCTTGATAATATCCGGAGACCCTATTCCCACAGCGGCGACACCGGGCTGTGGTGAATCGAATGCGACTGGCGTCCGGACTAGTCAGGTGGTAGCACCAGGCTTGACTACTCCGCGAGCTTCTGGAGCAACAACAACAACCGCAAGTAGCCGGCCCAAGCTGGCTGCTTGTAAACCAAAACCGCCCACTAAGCCTTCGGGTGTGGGTAAAGGTCCCAGCGGTGAGGTACCTCTGCCTGTCGTGGCGAGTACCTCTGCAGCCGCAAAAGCAGCCCTTGCTGATTCAAAGTCAGCTCAATCCCTGTCTTCGGGTGACAACAAAGTCTCCCAAGTGCCCTGTGCGAATGTGGAATCGTCGACCCTGATGTCGGATTCCTCTGCTGCACCTCCCCCTACATTGGAAAAGTCGTCGAACTCGTTGTCGGGCTCTTCCAATGTATCCCTAGAGTCTTCCCCCAGGCACAAAACACCCTCCAGAAGGGCTCCAATCCTCTAGCTGAGGCAGAAGTGGTTAGACCTGCTGCCGAGGCGCCTAAACGGCAACGATCTGAGGAGGAGACCCTTACTTCTATGCCGAACGACCAGCCGACTAAACGTCAAAAACAGGCGCAAACCATTGTCATCAATAGGCCTTTCAGTGAAGTGGCTAGAAACCCACTGGTAAGGGCTATTGTTGACCAAAGCAACAGCGACGGAGCCATCTCCCAGGAAAAATGGGGGACTATCCGTCAGAAGATGCTAGGCGTGTACTGGAAGATCCTCAAGGAGAATCCAGGACCCGCCCCCCAAAACGATGATGCTGGTTGGTACCAGGGTCACATTAAGCTGCTAGCTTGTTCAAATGAGCGCTCTGCGCTTCTGCTCAAGCTAGCTATTCAGTCCCTTGGGGAAGTGTGGCCAGGTGCAAGGATGGAGACAGTTCGCAGGATTCCGATCCTGAGGACGTCGACGTCACTGTCGTGTACGATCCTGATCTCGGAGATGGTGAAGGTAACCCAGATTAACCTTCACCACTCCAAAGCAGCATCAGCTGCTTTGCTCCTTCGGATGGCTGAGAGAGGGGAGGAGCTCATCTTGGTCCAAGAACCGTGGACCCACCACGGCAAAATCCTTGGACTATCTCTCAGAGGTTACAAACTTCTGTTTTCAAATCCTGCAAGTAATATTAAAAATATTAGAGCC